CAGTAATGAAAAGTAGAAAAGGAGGAGGTGGAGGGAGCCATGGACTTAGACTCTGTTATTAAAGAGGAATAAAAAAGATAAAAAAGTAATTAAAGCAGAGCCGATCTGCCTTTTAGGAAAAAAGGAAAACTGGCCAACCTGCTAAGCTTTGGAGTTTTATTTCATGAGAGACAACCAGATATATATAGTAGACTTAAGGGGAGGAACAGTAGTTAAATGTATTTAGAAGAATGGGGGGGGAGGGATGTTAAACAAACTAAAGGAAACTCATTTGTCACATCCATTTGTAATTCACACCCAGCACCCTGCTTACCTCAGCAGAGGAGTCAGGGCAAACAGTAAACTTTGCAGATAGCAAGATGGAATAAGAAGAGCATTTTTATTGACACACCTAGGAAATTAGACAGACACTCAGTCAATCTACATGCAAATTTGGGAGACACAGTCCAGGCTTTGAAACAAACATAAAAGGACTCCTCAGGCTGAGGACAACATCCAGCAGTAACTCCAAAGCAATGATTAATAACTTCCATTGTGCTTGGAGTGGACTGGAAGTCCTGGAAGCGTTAGAGGACTCTGCTTTGGGAAGGAATTATGAAATTGTTTGATCTCACTGGAATGCTGTTTTGAAACAGTGAAATAGAGTTAGGAACCACATACCCATACATAACATTGTAGTTACCAACAGGCATGGCTTTGATATCTGAAAACCATGCCTTTAATAAATGGCACAATATCCAGTGTTTTGCCATAGGCTTTGGGATCACAGAACTTTGTTACTTGAACATGCAAAAATAACAGCTGTGTAGACTTAAATAATCTGTTTGGTCTTGAAGTATTTGCTTAAATAATTTAAAAGGGCTGCTGATAAGAAGTCAAGAGTGAGGAATAAATACTTCTTTGAGAAAGAGTTGTTCATAGATGGAAAAATAAGTATGTGACTAGAAATATTCCATTTCTATTACAAAAGTGCAGGTTTTGCGTGGAAGTTTTGATAGTGAAATCCCTCCAAATAGATGTCAGCACTGTAATCCCCAGGTCTGCCAATGGCACATGTTGCTGTGGTTGGCCATGGGTACACTTTCAAAGAGGTTTCACTAACTGGGCAGCAGTGGCAGCAGAAGTTCAAGATTGCAAAGGGCAAGGTGGTGTGATCTGCATAAGTAACTTGAAGCATTTATGCACACTGATTTATGTGTTCAGTCATACAGGATGATGGCTGGGTAAAGACCTCAGCACACCACTGCTGCCCTGCCCCTAACCCACAGTAAAATGCCAGTGTCGGTAAATTCTGGATTTAGAATCCTACAGCATTGTACTCGTACATGTGGTTCAGTTGTGGTTAGAGGGGAGCAGTCATTGATTGGTTCTTTCCATTCCATAGGTATCCTTTTAGTCCTGAGAATGGAAAATTTTAGTATCGCTGGGATCTTTAGGCTTAATATGAAAACAAAATCAAAGAACCTGTAAGACACAGGAGTTGAAACTAGACTTATCCAGTAGTCACTCCTGATGGTAAACTAGAGGCCCTTCTTTTGAAAGGGACCTGACCATCATTTCAGAACCACTGCAGTATTGCCCACTAGGAAGGCCTGGAAGGTGTGAGAGACTCCTCTAACCTGCATGTCTTCACCACATGGAGAACTGGAAATTAGAAAGGGATAAAAGAGGACACTTGTCCTCACAGTACAGACGGGTGAGGCGGACCTTCTGTAGTGCTGAAGGCAGATTAAGTCTTGGTAGAGCATGCATATGGGAAGACTTGGTTTGAATCTCAACTGTGCCAAATCTTTTATGGAAATACTGTGTATTAAATAGGAATGTCTTGTCAGGCATCTTTTGCCAACAGCAAACAGCCCAGCTGTTAATTTTTACCTTTGTGCTAATGCTGAGAGCCTTTGAAATCCTAAATTATTATAAGATATGTATTAAAGATAGAGGCCTTACATCCTTCCTTATATAGTTTCATCATTTAACCACATTACTTTGGTCAAATAAACTTTACAGACAGAAAGGTTATTTTTGTCTCCATAAATATTGGCAGTTTTTCTTGGCCTGTACTGGGGAGATGAGCCACCCAAGAGAGGGACACTTCTTAACTGGCTGCAGCAGAGCAGTGACCACTTCACCAACAGCTCTCAGTGGAGATGCATCAGTCTCTGAACAGGAGGTGTTCCCAGGAAGCAATGCCACCTTATCCGAGCCATTACTGATTTCCTTCTACCCATATATTTAAATTAGCTTCTCTTAATCTCTGCTACTTTGCCCCAGTAGTGCTGTAGGTTGTTAAAACTTATTTCTAGAGAACGTAGGTCTCTCTGCAGAGATGATAGAAACTGCACTTCTTAAATGCTGTGTTTCCAGTCTTTTGGAGGAAGGTCTTGGTCTTGGGGGATTCTTAATTAAGAGTTTGATTTCACAGAAGAGGTTTTTTAAAAGTTCATGCAGTTTCCCTATGTCCCTCTGCAATCTCAATATTTGCATACCAACTATTGTGTCCATAATTGATCCCACTTTGCCTTTTTTTGCCTTTCTGTTGAAAGAATGTTTTTTTTTAATCCATCACTATTTATAAATTATCAGAAGACAGAAGAAAGAATAGTTCTTCTATATTCAGTAAAGCATTTAAACATTCTGGAACAAAGAAGAAATAGTCTTTTATGAGAATATGTAAGAGCTCTCTGTGGGGTGCCAGTGTACCAGCAAAACACATGTAAAGCAATTTCAGGTCATGATGCAAAGCCCAACAAAGTTGATGGAATTCTTTCCCCTTACTCCAGCGGACTCTGGATTGAACCTACACATGATGAGAATGAGTCATTGGAGGAGACTGTTCCACAAACCAGCGCAACTGCAGGGAGCTGTGACCAGAAATTGATTAGGGAGCCAACTTAAATGTATGTCTCCACAAAGATCTGAAATAATTAATATGTGGCAATTAGATGGAAGTCAGCCAAATCACGTGGTGCAGCTTTGTAAGGATGGATTTACCTGGAGTATGTTGCCGTATAGCTGATTTAAGGAAATTTCTGAGTAGTTACTTGCTAATCAACACACAAATCAGTGTAATTCAGTGAGTTTTTTGCTGCAGTGGACAAGATCTATAAACACGCTTTTTCCTGTGATTGCAGTATGGGGTTGAGGCAGCCAAGAATTTGGACTGTTTCACAGGCTTCATTTCAGGCAGACTAAATTTGATCAATTATGTAAAAACTTTTACACTGTGCTTCTTGCAAGCGTGGGCAGTGCTGAAGGCCAGCAGTCAGCTGCTGGGAAGCACTTGTGTTGAATCAGGACTGGGTGGTAACTCCATTTTATCTGTTTATTTGATTCAACCCTGTGTTATTTTATATACCAACAGTCTGACTGGAATAGGTTAAAGGCTTTAATTTAGCAAGGTTATTATGATGTACTTATGCTCATAGAGATATGCCTAAAAAGCTAAAAATAAACATTTTGAAAAATCTGTACTCATCATGTATATCTTTTTTATTAGAAAGCATGTGTCAGAAATATCATAAAAGTTCTATTTTATTAAGTGAGGAAAAGTATTTACACTTTGGTGTGCTTTTTTTTTTTTTTTTTTTTTTTTAGGGAACAAAACAGATGCTTTAAAACCTGGAATAAAAATGGAGACTTCCGATCACCTCTATGCCATGAAACATACTTCAAACACTACTAAAAATTGCTCTCTATTAAAACAGTATACGGCTTCCTCCCCTTTCAAGGTGGATAGTTTACATCCTTATTCATCTTTAGCACATAAGCCTGGCCTAACAGCAGTGACTAATATTCAACAAGATTTTTCAGTTCCCTACGGGTATTTTGAATGCAGTAGCAAGCAACCTCACATGACACCTTATGTTAATTGTAAGAACTTTGATGTGTCGGTCAAAGATTATACTGGAATTTTGCTGAATGATAAGATGAATGGTGTGCCACCAATTCTTCCAGAGGTCACTGCTCCAGGCCCTCCAGCCCATAAAGACCCCCTGCCCACTATACTTGAACATCAACCAGACAAACAGAATTGTCAGCTTCATTTAGACAATTCTCCTTCTTCACAGATGGTCAGCTCTTGTGATCTGTCAGCACCGCTAAGCTCTCCAGCAAAGAATGGAGTCAGAAACGAAGCTGACTGTTCCCGTGGATGCCCAGTGGAAAAGGGCAGCGCCCATCAGGAACAGATATGTGATTTAAACTATGTGGACGAAAAGCAGAACAGTGCACTGGGACAACTGGCTGACTCTGAGGAAAAAGCGGAGGAAATGTGGTCAGACAGCGAGCACAATTTTTTGGATGATGACATTGGTGGGGTTGCTGTGGCACCTTCTCATGGTTCTATCTTAATTGAATGTGCAAGACGTGAGCTCCATGCTACAACACCTATTAAAAAACCCAACCGCAATCATCCCACAAGAATTTCATTAGTTTTCTACCAACACAAAAATTTAAATGAGCCAAAACATGGTTTAGCCATGTGGGAAGCAAAGATGGCAGAGAGGGCGAAAGAAAAAGAAAAAGAAGCGGAAAGATTAGGAACAGAGAATACCGAACTAAATTCTAGCAACAGGAAAACAAAGCAAGCAAGTGAAAGCAGAGATCTTTTTTATGAAGACAATGAGTTCAACCAAATTCCATCACGCAGAGCATTAACAGTAACTAAGGATAACATAATAACAGTATCTTCATATGCCCTTACACGAGTTGCAGGGCCTTACAACCATTGGGCATAGGTTTTAGTCTCAAATGCCCCCTCTTGGTGCAGTGTTACACGGAGTTTCTTTAAGGTGCTGTTAAAGAACAAGCTTCGTGCCGTTTACTATTTGCTCATCTCAACCATTTTAAGGCTGAGGTAAAAAAAAAGAAGGAGGGTATTTCTTCTTAAACTGTGACTAATATTTGGTGGTGCTCAAGCACATTTTAAGCAAAAAAAAAAAATTAAAAAAATTGTATAGTTTTAATACACTCTAAAAAAGATTTTGTTTAGGTTGTTAACCTTGATTGAATCATTCAGTTTATTACCTTTAGGAATTTATATTTTGGTGCTTTAAATCAAGTCTGTTTACTACAAAAATCATTTATAGGGATTTTAACAGGTTCACATTTTATGGTGTTAAATCAAGTTATACAGTAATAGCTCTACACAGCTCTTGGTGCTTAACCACATCAAACAGTTAAACATAAATAAGCTGAATTATTACTTCATGGTGCCATTGCTTTAACAACTTCTACCCATTGCTTTATAGTCCAAATTGCAGATAAATCTTTTAGAAAACCAATGAGTTTTTTCTCTGGATTTGTCATTATGTATGAAATGAAGTTATTGGTAATGATGGCTGGAAGTTGTTTTTAAGCTGTAAATATATATTTTAAAAGCACTTTCTATTTTTAAAATTAACTTGAAATAGTATAGTATAAGGATCATATTGTCTAAGGTTTGTGCATACTCTACAGAAGAAATAATTTTATTCTTGCTGTGTAGAGTTCCATATTGTTACAGTTGCAGTATGTATGCTAATAGCATATGTGATTGTTTTTAGACTTGCCCTTTTTCATGGAAGTTTTTATGTTGCATATAAACAGTTACAAAATACAGAACCATTCTTTTCAAGAGAGTGTACAAACATGAAATTAGGAAATGTCTCGTCAGTATGTGTGTTGCTATTGGGAGCTATGAATATTATTTGGGGTTTTAAAGGCAGTGTTTGTTATGATTTCTTTGAGCAATAAGTGCATAAGTCTCGTTCGTTTGGAGCATTATAAGTTAACACGACAACCAAATGTTCCTAATGCCTCAGGGGTAGGATTGTTTTGGGATAAAAAGAAATATACCCCCTAGAGTTGCCTTATTCTATTCTGGGAAAAAATAATTTGGGGAAAATGCAAAGGAAATTTTGGAAAAGTATGAAATTTATAACAGCAGCAAATTTTTCATTAAGAATAACTTATCTGTAATATTCACCAGCTTTCTGTGTTGGTTTTTTTTTTTACAAAAATGTTTTGTACATTTTTTAAGTGATTTCTACATTTCATGTAGAAAGGGTTGTCTTCTTCCTTCCAAACATATGAAATTTATGTTCTCAATTTCTGCTGAAAAAGTGACATATCATGAAATGAGTAGATTGCTAAACCAGAGGAAAAACAGACACTCCATTGCTTTTAAATACTGTAGCATCCCACTCTTCTTTCTGATTTTCCTCTCCTATGTATTTCTTTTTTAAACTTATTTATTTAAACAAATTACCAAATGGCAATGTTAGCTAAGGACCAACCTCATCCTACAACTTCTTCCATGAGAACAGCTCTGCATAGCCATACCTGCCCCATCAGAGCCAGGAGGACTGCTCAAGCCAGGACTCCTCTCGTGACTGAGAGCTGCAGGATCAGGCCCAGAGATGAAGCTGTACCTTAATTCTGCCTTGGAGTCCTCCCTGGCTGGGTAGCCTGTAGGTGTAATGAGATCAGAAGTTTTCCAGTGCGAAAATATAGTAATAATATACTTGATAATATTACAATGTAGTGGTGCTGTAACTGAGGAATATAAACTATCTAGATCTGCTTTATTTAAAACCTAGACAAGGTGCTTTTTCCTTGAAAGCTGAACTGTAAGCACTATGTTTACAGTTTTGGTACAAAAAGTACGTAAATTGTATTTTTTAACACATAGTGCCAGTTAGGACTTTGGTGCTACAAATACTTAAATGTGGCTGTTGATGAATGAGACTGTTCTCCTGTATAGACATAGACACATGTATTGTGTTGGCAGGAGCAAGGTCTGAAGTAGCAATCACTATGTAATGACCTTGGGTTCAATTCTACAGATGCCTGTCAAAATTAACAAAAATGCTGGTGTCAGAGGGTGGACAAGTTGAACCCATTCTTTGTATCTTACCTATTTTAAGTAAAATTTGTAAAAACTGGGTATGCTGCAAATTTTAGTTCAAAGCTTAATATGACTTCAAATAGAGGATATGAAGGGATTGTAAATAATAATAAAACAAAACCAATATTATGCCATCGTTTTGTACCAGCAGTTTTATGCTTATTGACTATGTAATATACAGTATACATCAAATCATTATGGTATTTTGTGTGCCTTAGATTTCCATTTTAAAACTTGCATATTTTTGGTGAGCTGAAGATTAGTAAGAATTCCAGCTGTCCATACAGTAGTACTGTACGTTCTCTAGCTGTTCCATTTTTGTATTTGCTATCTGAAAACCCTTGTTCGACACCACAAGCAATCACTTACAGAAAAGATGAGTTTATTGGTTTCACTGGTAGTGCTGATAGCATTAGTTTCTATGTTGCAAATTGAAAAAAAAAGAAAAGTTATTCAGTGCTCTCATGTGAATAACATTTTTTTTTCACACCACTGGTAAGTTACAGAGCCATCTTTTTACCTTTTAAAATTCTCAGATCATTAAAGCGGATCATTTTGACTTAAATCTTCCACTATAAATGCCCATGCTTAATTTATGTATGACTGGAAACTTTGAGAGAGAAATTTTCCAGTGAAAACCCAGCAGCTTCCCTCAAAGAAGTGAGAAACCGAAAGGTAGATCTGAAAGGATACCACCAAACATAGCCCCTGGCAAGTAACTGCTCAAGTGACTGCACCAACAGACTTTCCGTAAATCCATATTTACCTGTTTTGAAATGGCAACTCTAACAGAGAACAATGTATCTTAACATCCTAGTTAATGCTATTAACTGATAGGTGCTAAAACTTGCAGTTAACTGCTTTATTAAGGTTACTTACATGAGAAAAATATATCATCTATACAATAAAATATAATTCATGGTGCTCTTCCCTTGACTGTCTATCACATAACTACTTTTTCAGCATGTACCTAGCAGGCACGTTAGCTAGCCACTTTCCTGCTGTGGCACACAGCAGGTTGAAATTTGAGAAGCTATATTTTCTACTGCTGTACTGCAGTATAGAAAATGCAACTATTTACTGTTTTGACAACTGTGTGCTATTGTAACATTTGAGAGTATTTATCTTGTATACAAATTATGTTGTTTTGAGTAAGGTTATAATTTTATAACAGCATTTGTCTCTTAAAATGTGTGAATCTGTGGGTTTAATGCTTTCCTTTTCAGGCCACACAACCACTTGTAATTTGCTCTTTCTCTTTAACAAAGTCCTTCCAGGATGGCCAGATCAGGAGGTGGATCTAAAATTGAGGTAGCTGGTTAGGTCAGACCTGTGTATTTTACTTGGTTTCCAACAGCTGGCAGTATGCTCTGGGTGAAAAAACAGAAAATGGATTCATGTGTGGGCTGGTGGCGGGGTGTGGTTGTCTTTCAGTCGTTTTTCACAGTGCGCTAGCAAAATCTGTTGTGATCCAATATGGGATGCCTCTGACTTCCTAGAAGAAATGTCTCTCATCCGTTTCTCCACTGGGTCCAGTAACAGCACTCCACCTTTGCTCTGGAAGGAAGGAGTAGTGCTTTCTGCAGGAGCTGGTTCTACTTGACTCCCGAGTCCCTGTTGGAGTTACTGCAGTTGTGCCCATTTCGATAGTGAGTTTTACTCATGCAGTTTCTCTGTGCTTACTGCTTGTAACATGCTATTGTATTACCGAAAATAGAAAAAAAAAATCTATACATATTTTAGTCACAAGATCCAGAAAACTTTTTAAGAACCTGGCTTTCTACCTGTAACAGTTGTATTCAGGTTTATTTTTTTTAAGATCTAAACTAACTTTTGCTTAGGAATAACTGCTGTTAAAAACCCTAACCTTACCTATGACAGTACTTCTCTATACTTAGAAGAGGAAATAACTGTAGAATTGTAACGAACATTTTATGTTAAGCATGGGTAAATGACAACTTCCGTAGTACTTAAGATTATTTGTAACATACAACTGTTTGGGGTTTTTTAAAAGACCTTTTTAATATCACTGCAGTATTACACGAAATTTGGTGGGTTAAACTTTGGTCCCGTTTATGTTGCTGCAGCCCCACTGACTGCAATGTGCTCATTCATCAAGCTTTCATGCGATTTTCATATTTAACTGGATGGGTAAGAGTTGACCAAAGTCTGTGCCAACTTGGACCCTTGCAACCCTACCACAATAAACAGGTTTTACAAGGACAGATGGAGAAAGATTTGGAGTAAATGTTGTACTTATGGTTAAACACAGAGGTTATATTGTTTGTAGCATGAGAACTGATTCAAGGTCTGTAGAGAGATGTACTACCTTCACCTCAAGTTTCAGGCATGCAGGCAGGTCTGTTTCATACCTTATGCTCTTCACAGCATTTTTGGTTTTTCCCTATCTTATAGGTTGTTCAATGACAGATGTTATGGAAGCATTCCAGTAAAACTGCATCTCCATGGGTTTATATTGGAAAATGTGAGGTCAGTCTTGGCCTTTCACTTCCCATGAAATTTCTTGCATGTTAAAATTGGCTCCTTTTATCAAGCAACCATCAGTTTTGTAAACTATTTGTACATACACGATTTTTCTCTTTCCTGCAGAAATCCTGTAATTTCTAGGTTAACAGGAGGAAATATCTGTACCCTCATATAAATGAAAAGCTATAAATCGCATGGCTACTTCCACACTTTTTCTACATTAGCAGCAATTACATTCAGGCAGCGCTGAACAAACTCTGAGGTCTACTGTGGGTGTTAAAATTCAGATTAGGGTCTTTGTGACTTACCTTCCATAAAACTGTGTTTTACTTCTTGTGTGAAAGGTGTCTGCCCAACTGTGACCTGTGATCTGATCTTGAATAACACAACTGGAAATTCTGGCTTTTTTCTCAGTTTTACTAGTTGTTGATCTGACTTTCAAGAGGAAGCATAGAGGGAATATCTTTCCGTAAAATTAAACTGTGGATAAAGTTGCCATTGGTTGTTGTGACACCATGGTACTGCTCTGCCATGTCTGTGTTACAGCATTGTTTCTAACGAGTAAGGATGTGGTGTTGTGTCACACAGCTGTGGATGTATGTACAAATTCATCTCTTCCCACAGTTCCTCTGGAGGCAGTGATCTCTCCTTTGTTCTCTGTCTGCCTAGACTGGTTTAAGGAGGAAAACAAACCAACAACCAAACGAACAAAAAAAAAAACCACCCATAACAAAACCAAACAACAACAAAAACCCCACAACAACCAAAAAACAAGAGGAGGGAGAGCTGGTCACCCTTTCTTTAAGATGACCAACATAGCAAGCACTGCTGTCAACACGTTTGCTGCTCCTTCCCATGATATGGAAAGCTGATGGGATGCACAGCATGAGACAGTCACAGGCAAAGCTGTGAAGGTACAACCAGCTTTTGAGACAGCCTTCTCTGTACACATGCTGTAGTTGCCAGGGTACTTCTTTATGTTGACACTTTTTTTGGTACATCTGACTTTAAATTCATAAGCTTTTTTATTTAGTCTGTGACACATTTATGTTCTTTAATCCTAAACAGAGTGGCCAGTGTCAAAAGTCCTGAGGATGTGGCTACTTAGTGGAATAGTACAGAAACTGGCTTCAGGATTTCCTGTAATTACCTGATGTTTAGTCAGAGTTTTCACAAGGTGTCTATATGCTGCTCCATTGTGTTGCTGCAAAATTATAATTGCATAAAGGAGTTTCATACTTGAGGTTTTCTCAAAGACCAAGGATTTCTAATAGTAGTATCTAATCTGGCACTAACAAACATACGCATCACTTCTTCTGAAGAGTGGTTGAAAATATATTTTGTGTTTACCTTATTACTTCCCTATTAAAACATTTTTAGTTATTTTAGAGTCAGCAAAACTTTTTAATACTGTCATTTACATGCTTGACTAAATTATGAAAACTTAATTCTAACTAATGCTGTGTTGTCTCCCTGAAGAATATTTTATTTGACTAGTGCTGATTAGTAGATATTACTTTCTACTCTACAAATTACATTCAATAGCGCAACTACCTTTCTCACTCTGTGGTCTGTTTATGGATTGTCTGCTATGTCTAGCTATTTTCACAGCCAGCACTCGATCACATTATAACCTACTGCTGAATGCTTTAAATGCTTATAAACTGTTCCAGGAGTTCTTCCTATCCCTCTGCAGATCTGCCTCAGTACTCAGCATTAGCAGTATAGCTGTTGGCCTGCTTGTGAATTCTCCACACACTGTCACTGCTTTGTATGTAAATCAGCCAGTCTTCATCTCAGGAATATTGTAAGGATTTATTCTCCTGTGACTCTTCCGAAATAAGTTTCTTTCAGTCATCTTTTGTTCTATATATGACAATTCTAGGGGTTGTTCTCTCATAGGGAGCCTAGAATAGTGTAGCTGGATAATTTTTCATTCCAAGAAAGGGGGGTAATTCATTATCTGTCACAATCAGTGTGGGGTTTTTTAATCAAAATAAATGTTTCAGTTAATTTTCATATTTCTTGATGCAACTGTTACACTCTGTTCTTAAATCTGTGAATATCTAAACTT